ATTCTATGTGACAGCCCTGGTGCATATTTTCAGTTTGTTTTTTCTCAAATATACCACGAAATTTAATGCTGATTTTTTTTATACAACTAGAATAAATATCAGACTATAGCTTGCGATTAAAAAAGTTTGCATATATTATGGTATAATAGAGAAAAACAATAAAAACAAATATAACAAAAAGATTTTTTTTTATTTAACTGCAAGCATTTACAAAAAACTTTAAACGCTTATTACGTGTAGTTTAAAGAGTTCTATGAAGTACTGTAACATTCCTAAACAAAATGTTATTAGTTACAGAGTAAGATTGTTTTTTCATTTTTAAAAAAGAAAAAAAATAATATTTTTCAATTTTTATATCTCAAAAACTACGTGGAATTTTCAAACGGGAGTTTTACTCTCATATTTGTATAAATGAGCTCTAAAGAGTACATCAAATAAATAAGAATGTCCGATTTTACGGTCTCATAACATACTGTGGGGCGGTACGAAGTTCGCTGGGTCAACTAGTATTCTATAATAATTTGGTAAATACACGTACTACATCTAACTTGTTATAAACGAGGGTTAAGGTGATAATTTCATACCAAATTCTATGCGATGCGTTCATCTAATCTCGTTTCAAAGGATGGATGGAACCTTGCCGGAAACATTGAAACAATGCTCTGTCAGCTCGGATTCTTCCTACGCAACCTTGACAGTGAATCTGTCAATATGGCCACCTATATAAACTCCGGAGGCGGCAACACAGCCAACATTCCATCATCGAATACCGAAGCATCAACATGAAATTGGTTCGTTAATTTTTATCGATCGATTTTTTCGAGTGCTATTGATTGATTATTGTTTAATCGGCGGTGTTAGATTGGATTAACCTCGCTATTAGATTATGGGTGCTTTCAATCCTTTTCAAAAGCTAACAATATTGATCTCGACCTCGGTGGTCGAGTGGTTTGTACGCCGGGTTTCATGGTGTCGCCGACTCGAGAGGTCCCGGGTTCGAATCCCGGTGGGGGCAGATGTTTGTGTGATGAATACGAGCATTTGTACTCCAGTCTGTTTGTCCAGAATGTTTTATATGTATTACTATAAAAATATACTTATATATGTACAGTATGTGTATTCTATCCGTTACCCTAGCATCCCTTAACACTAGCCTTACAGTGCTTACTTTGGGGCTAGGCTAATTGGTGTGAGTGTTGGACATATTTACTATTTATTTATTTATTGTTATATTGATTTTGAATGATCTAATGTCAAGGTGTAGAAAATAATTATTGTTTACTAATTTTTTTTTTTGAAAAAAACTAAATTCTGTTGCTTCATAAAAAGGTGTTGAGCTTCATACGTAACGTTAACTACCTAAAATATTACCTCATTGTATGTAATTATGAATAATTTTCAATATTCAAGATTTCAGGTAAAGTTTTTATTAGAAACTAACACGTAACTACATTCTCTTGTAATTTAAATTTTATTTTTACAGTATTAGTTAAATCGTTGTAGTATTTTTGTATACATATATGTTTGTGTGCATAGTGTATGTGTTTTTTTGTAAGAAAGAAACGTATATGTGGCAATATTCCTTTTGCATTTAAAGTTACAACTAGAGTGTAAGTTACTATACTTATATTTATAAATGTTTATACTTCACCTGTTGCAGTACTGAAAACATTTCTGAACTACAACAAAGAATGTACAAGGATTTTTTAATAACATATAAAAATTTTACTATTATAGTAATATAAGTTATTTACGGGATTGTTAGCATGTACCTTGTTTTAGCAAGTTTCCGTTACTCCGTGATCATGGCGCTTGTAACAGTGCCGAAATATCGGAAACTCGTTAAAAACAAGATACATGGTAACAATCCCGTAAATGCCTTATATTACTATAATGTTAGTGACCATGAAAGTTTAAAACAATATAAAAATTTTACTTCCTAATTTTATATTAGATTTTTTGAATATTTGACTGTATTTTTCTTATATTTCTAGCAACCTAATGCACCTTTCATTATAATACGTTAAAGTACCTCTAAAATGTCAAACCAATTTGTTATAGAAATTCGAAGTTAAGTCAATAATTTATCTATACAATTTCCCTTTGTGAACTTTCAGCAAAGTAATAATAATTACCCTTTATAATATTTCTCTGGAGGAGCTTGATGGCGCGTTCGGCTGCAATCGTTGAAGTTAAGCAACTTTCGCAGTGGTCGGTCATTGGATGGGTGACCAAAAATTTACTATCTCGAGCTCCTTCGTGCTTCGGAAGGCACTGTAAACTGTTGGTCCCGGATGCATCTGCAGTCGTTAGCACCCACCGATTCGCCCGCGCCCGCGTGGTGGGACATGGCCCAATCTCCCAAATCCATCCATAGGGAAGGCCCCAGCAGTGGGGGCATTAACAGGCTGATAATGATCATGATAATATTTCAGCTAGTGATCTCCGCATTGGTGGCGGTTTGCGCTGCTCTGCCACAGCACTACTCTCGCAACCAGGGCTACTACCAGCAGAACTACCAGCAGAGCAGGCCGCGAGCGTCAGTAGACAGCAACGCAGTCATACTTCGATCCACGTCTGACGTCAACGACCAGGGGTTCCACTACGCTTACGAGACTGACAATGGTACGTCTTCTTTGCCGATTCACTCTTGACAGAGCGGTCGTGGTCATCAGGTAGCGGTCAGGTTCTGGGCAGCCATAATCCTCTTCACGATGCGACGCCATCCTTCCCTGCCGGTTGTGCTACGTGTGCACTCGTGCAAGGGGCCGCCTACTGCCGATTTGATCTGGTCGGTCCAGCGCATGAGCGACCTGCCACGTGCCCTCGTGCCTTCGACCTTCCCAAAGAACTGTAGTATTCGAGTCTGGACTACGTTTGTTAGACGCTGTTTGACACTGAGTTCTTGGAGAATAGATGCATTGGTGCGAAACTCTGTCCACTTCACTCCAAGCATCTTTCTCCAGCACCACATCTCTAGTGCATCTATTTTCTTTTTCTCAATTTCTCTCAGCGTCCACGTCTCGGCAGCGTACAGAAAAATGGGGAATATCATTCGTCAATCAATGGTCATCATCAATGGTACGTACACTCGCGGAAAGACCCGCTCTGTCACCCATAATGCCATAATCGCTTGCGGTAGCGGCGTAGTAAAAATTCATTCATAGATATGTAATTATCGCTGTCTTACTTTTTCGTATAGCGCTGTCGCGATCACGATGCGGATGACAAATTGCAACTAAAACAAATGCAATTCAATTCATTATTCAATCGATGAAATGCTCTCTGTCTTACTTTTGTGCGGCGGCCCGGATTGACGCGTCCGACGCGAAGGCGGGGCGTAGTAAAAACTACTGTAGAAAACCGTTCAAAGCATTTTGTTCGCCAAGTGACAGAGCGCAAAATTCCGCGATAGTACCTGCAGAGTTTTGAAGTAAAGAGGCCGGTAGCAGTATGATTTCCACTCCTATTGTAAAGATTTTTATAACACATTTGCTCGAAAAGCGTCTCTTATTGCACCAATTTCAATATCATAATCTAACACATTACAGACGCGTGCGGTAATGTAAAGTGAAACGCACGGCTTATTATGTTCCGTCTAAAAACGAACGATACTTTTTTAAATCTTAGCAAAGAGTTTTTATGTCAGAAAGGTAGCCAACATTTTCTTAATAAAATTTACTTTCGGAGATAAAATATAATATATTAACATTAAATTCTTTAATTTGATTCATTTTGACAATAAATTACAACCATGTATCGGTAATAAATTCACAAAAATATTAATTTACTTTATTAGTAACACTGGCTGTTTTTTGTTCCTTTGCCTAAAAAAAGCGTTGATGCGCGCGCATCGCTAATCTGTGAAAAAGTTATTTCTTTTTCGTTTCGCTGTATTGTTATTATTTGAAAATATTGTCAAGTAGTAACGACTTTATTAATTTGACACCGCCAGAAGTCGAAAAAGGCTACGCTAAGCCTCTTGCCCGAAAAATCCACGGATAGATACTTACAGTCAAGCGTATCAAAATTTCATCTATGGAAAACAAACAAAGGTGCAAATTCATTTTCAGAAAGTACGTACGTAGATAGTATTATTTCCTCGCGAATGTGTTTTATAACGTCGTATGACATACGTGCGGTTTGATAATTAGAGCCTCTGCCTTCTTATAGCCCTTACCTACGGCTCGGGCTAACAATATCGCCTCGGCTGCAATTCTCAACTTACCGCACTTATATCATAATGTACTATTACTTACCCAAAACTGAAGTTTATTAAATTACCTAATCGACACATGTACTACATAGTTTGTTAGGATTTTAATGTCGAATCTCTTATCTATTAGACAAGTCCGTCCGTCCGTGGTGCTGTTTCAGCGGCCAAACCGTAAGAGATAGATAAAGAGAATATTTAAGTTATAAGTTAAGAATAGTCTGATAAGACTACAAACCGGATTTGAGTAACGTAGCACTTCCGGTTTTCGAGAAATCACGTGATTTCTATTTTGTAATTATCACAATTTTAATTAACTATTTAAAGGTTATTTTTTTTTAACTAAATAATTTCAAACGAAACCACACAAAATCTCCGAAGTTCTCAATTAATTAAATACATTTTTTAAATCAGGTTTTGGTGAACATTTGGTTCACTGGTTTGCTAGTAATGTACTATTACTTACCCAAAACTGAAGTTTATAAAATTACCTAATCGTCACATGTACTACACAGTTAGTTAGGATTTAATGTCGAATTTCTTCTATTTTAGCTTAGGTTGTAAGGCAGCTAAGCTAATAAACGCGACCGCTCTGTCAAGAGCGTACCGGCTAAGAAGAAGATGTAAGGCAGCGCCGATATCATTAAATGGAATGGTTCTCAAAGTCCAGTTTTGTCTTGTACTACTTATTAAATCGCGAATAAAATTGAAAATAGAAATTTATCATTTCATCATAATTAATATCTGGCACACAAAAAGCTATACGAGTCTCTATAGTTACGCTGCGATGTGGCATCATTCAGCGCATTCTACCGACTGTACCACGGCGAGTGTTCTGAGGAGTTATTCTTCTTTATCCCTCAATCAACATTCTTCAGAGACCACGCGCGCTGGCCTACGTTGCCACCGACTTACTGTGGCCACTATTCCTACACGAACAAAGAAATTTGGTGACTCCTTTCTTTGTCGTTCTCTTCGTAAGTGGAATTCTTTGCCCGCGCACGTGTTCTCTCCTTCCTATAATCTGGGGTCCTTTAAGAGAGGCGTGGAAGAAGCATTTTTGCAGGCCGGCAAGGTGAGGATGGTTGGTGTGGCAGTTTATAATTGCTGTACCAGCTATCTTCGCGTTTGGAGTTTATCACCACTTAGCAGCAGGTGGGGCTGAGTCATTTGCCTACCTGCCATATAAAAAAAAATAACTACCGATGGCGATGCCCTTTATTATAGAACAAACATTATTTTGATACAAAAGACATCAACGCGCACTCCTGCTAGTTTAATCAATTTCACAACCGATACGGCTGTGATTTTTCATTTCAAAATCTATATACCTACTTCATTGAATAATACACCTCATAAAATAAGGAGGTACTTAATTAGTTGAGCTTTGATGCAAAAATGTAATGGGATTATTACATTATACCTCTTAATTCTAAGCAGGTCGACAGACTTCTTTTGATAATCATATCGATTTATCAAAAGAAGTCAGTTTATAAAACTTAATATATATATACTAGCAAACCAGTGAACCAAATGTTCACCAAAAAAAAAATGTATTTAATTAATTGAGAACTTCGGAGATTTTGTGTGGTTTCGTTTGAAATAGAAATCACGTGATTTCTCGAAAACCGGAAGTGCTACGTTACTCACATCCGGTTTGTAGTCTTATCAGACTATTCACAACTTATAACTTAAACATTCTCTTTATCTATCTCTTACGGTTTGGCCGCTGAAACAGCACCACGGACGGACGGACGGACGGACTTGTCTAATAGATAAGAGATATATATATATATTTTATTACAAATAACTTAATACTGCTTAGTTTTGATAATACTTCTTTTATCAGAAATCATTCAGCTGAAATTTCGTCAATTCTTTTGAGTGACGTGAGTTAATTATATAATGTAATCATTAAATTATTCACACAAACCTTATTCACACAAATAACCTAGAAACTACACTAGTTTTGGAAACTTATCAGAATGACAATTAATTGTGTTTGCGGAAAGACTGCTCCCTCTTTCGCCTCATTAGCAACACAGCCGTTCTAAGACCATTAGATATTTAAATCTAAAGAAAATATAACTAGAAAAAATTCCACGCGGACCAGGCAGCAGACGGGACTCGAACCCGTACCCTTCGCAATCCGGGCGAATGCACTGACCAATTATGCTACCGCGGCCCTCACGGACCGCGTCGAAATTCTTTCTAGCTATTCTTAAGCTGCAAGGCAGCGCCATCTCTTCGCATTATAGGTAAACCCACAATGTCAAATGAATACTTTTACAAGTATTAAACATTTGAAAGAAGAAATAGCAATTATAGTTATAATTTTTATTATTTTTAAAGCATGTAACTGCTTGATGTTTAAATCTAAAGAAAATATAACTAGAAAAAATTCCACGCGGACCAGGCAGCAGACGGGACTCGAACCCGCACCAGCCTTGCAGCTTAAGAATAGCTAGAAAGAATTTCGACGCGGTCCGTGAGGGCCGCGGTAGCATAATTGGTCAGTGCATTCGCCCGGATTGCGAAGGGTGCGGGTTCGAGTCCCGTCTGCTGCCTGGTCCGCGTGGAATTTTTTCTAGTTATATTTTCTTTAGATTTAAACATCAAGCAGTTACATGCTTTAAAAATAATAAAAATTATAACTATAATTGCTATTTCTTCTTTCAAATGTTTAATACTTGTAAAAGTATTCATTTGACATTGTGGGTTTACCTATAATGCGAAGAGATGGCGCTGCCTTGCAGCTTAAGAATAGCTAGAAAGAATTTCGACGCGGTCCGTGAGGGCCGCGGTAGCATAATTGGTCAGTGCATTCGCCCGGATTGCGAAGGGTGCGGGTTCGAGTCCCGTCTGCTGCCTGGTCCGCGTGGAATTTTTTCTAGTTATATTTTCTTTAGATTTAAACATCAAGCAGTTACATGCTTTAAAAATAATAAAAATTATAACCATTAGATATTCTAATCATTATTAAAAAAACTTAAATAATGAAAGTAGGCTACTCAAGCAAAACACGCAGTGGTAGCCGCTTACCATCAAGCAGTTCATGGTATCTCGTCACTCTTAGATATTAAAAACCTTAAATATTACCCTTGTACGTTCCAAAAACACGGTGCAGCAGTGGTAGTCGCTTACCATCAAGCAGATCATGGTATCTCCTCACACATAGACATTAAAAACCTAAAATATTACCCTTGTACGTTCCAGGCATAAGCGCTGAAGAGTCTGGCCGCGAAGCCGACGGCATCCAAGCGCAGGGCGCTTACTCTTACACCGGTGACGACGGCCAGGTCTACAGCGTGCGGTACACTGCTGACTCCAATGGATTCCAGGCGCAAGGAGCTCACCTACCCACTGCCCCACCCGTGCCTGAAGCCATCGCAAGAGCGCTCCAGGAGAACGCGAGAGACGAAGCCAATGGCATATATGATGATGGTAAGTATTTCACACCAATTAGCCTAGCCCCAAAGTAAGCACTATAAGGCTTGTGTTATGGGATACTAGAGTAACGGATAGATTACATATACTTTACATTTAAAAGTATATTTATATAGAAAATACATATTAAACATCCTGGAGCATGACTGGACTACAAATGCTCGTATTCATCACACAAACATCTGCCCCCACCGGCATTTGAACCCAGGACCTCTCGAGTTGGCGAAACCATGAAACCCACTACAAACCGAGTACAAACCACTCGGAGACGAAGGTCGTCAAAAAGTTGGCTTTATAAAGGTTCCAGCATGAGAGAAGCGAGGGGTACTTGCTGTTCATTCTACTTCATGTTCCTAAGCCATTACAAAAGTTCTACATGATAACAGCTGAAGAATACCAGGGACTGGACCACTCGGAGCCGTGGTTGAATCCCTAACGGGGACTCTGCGGCTCCACGTTAAGCAGTGTAGAAGGTATTCGCAGGACTTTTTTAGCGGATATTATGCTGTAAAGCGCCCGTAAGAGTTGCGGGGTCCTCGGTGGGTAGCCACTAGAGGTTCCATAAGACTTGCGGGAGCCAGGTGTGAGGTCCGTTCGGCGGTGTGCCTCTTAAAGGCGCCGTCGTCTGTAAAAATATTTTTTACCTGCGTTATAAAGAAAAAAAAGGTACTGGACCACTAGCATCTGTGATGACAGTAAGAAGGATGATGTATGAGTCTGGCCGGAAAGCCGGCTCCAAGCGCAATATTCCTTTTATTACAATGTCATTCTTGTCACACTGTCCCCACTTGATCCTAGTGTTATTTTACTGAAATCATTTGTAAAATCGAGGAGCTCGATGGCGCATGTAGTTAGCGCGTTCAGCTGCGATCGTTGTAGCTGAGCAACTTTCGTAGTGGTTGGTCATTGGTTGGGTGACCAAATATTTACTTATCTCGAGCTCCTACGTACTTCGGAAGGCACTTTAAGCAGTTGGTCATGGCTGCATCTGCGGTCGTTAGCACCCTCCAATCGGCTTTAGGGCCCGCGTGGTGGATCGTGGCCCAATCTCAGTGTTCCATCCATAGGGTAGGCCTGTGCCCCAGCAATGGGACATCAATAGGCTGATGATGATCTTTAAAATGCGGAAAATCCGCTTTGTTCTACCTCTCGTGCAAAAAGGGCTATGCTTATTTTATTGCGTCCGTTTGTAGAGTCTGTGCGGAAAGTCCTATCTACCCTTGCCCTCCAATCTAAATCCCATTTGATTTAGATTGGAGGGCGCTATAGTGTTTTCTACCGTATTTGTAAGGTTTAACCCCTTTTAGACATGATTAAATACAAAAAAAGCCGCCAGAAATCACAACAACAAACAAATCCGTCTCAAAACTTGAACCCTTGAATCAAAAGGGTTTGATTGCCAAATAAAAATCTTAATGTTAGTTCCGTTATTCGCCACGCCCATTCTCTTTCCGCACAGACTCTACTGATCTATGACATAGTATCCAACAAGCTTTGTTGGGTAAATTAATCACGATCAATTGTTATTTAACATAAATTTCTTGATGATTTCAGGAAGCTACCACGAGGGCAAATACTCCGATTCTGGGGTGGTAGCGGCCCGAGCTTACAACCCACCCAACCAGTACAACCCTTACCGTGCAAGACACTACTGAACCAACCGGAGCGAAGAACTTAACGAACTATAAGTCTTTAATAGTTCTTTGGAGTTGTTCGTGTTAAATCGCCTACAAAATGTGATTAGCGAACGTGCCATTGATGTAAGATTTTAAGTAAAAAAAATATGCAAATATACAACACCGTTGTATTGTTTAAAGGACTTTTTATTCATAAATTTTATTATTTTTAAAGCATGTAACTGCTTGATGTTTAAATCTAAAGGAAATATAACTAGAAAAAAATCCACGCGGACCAGGCAGCAGACGGAACTCTAACCCGCACCCTTCGCAATCCGGGCGAATGCACTAACCAATTATGCTACCGCTGCCCTCACGGACCGCGTCGAAATTCTTCTAGCCATTCTTAAGCTGCAATGCAGTGCCATATGGTAACCCACAATGTCAAATGAATACTTTTACAAGTATTAAACATTTGACAGAAGAAATAGCAATTATAGTTATAATTTTTAAAGCATGTAACTGCTTGATGTTTAAATCTAAAGAAAATATAACTAGAAAAGCTTTTTATTCGTTATATGGCGATTACACTTGGTCTTTAGCCCGTATTAGGGTGCATGAAAGACATTACTCGAATTCGGATACACGAAACAATATTTACGCTGGTATACTGGCTTGAAGGGTCGGGTAAACAAAAGAAAATCTACGAATACTCGACTCCGTTTATTTACACTTAGCCGCTTACCCGAATTCCATTGGCAGTATTCGGGTTTAAATTTTACATTTCATTGTCCTCACTGGATTATCAGGCAAAATATAAATGTATGTTCTAGTCAAAGTTATTTTGAATGTTCTTTCGATGTTTAAATATGAGTGAAGCAATATTTTAATCAATTTAACATTCGTTCATGAATGAATACAAGTTTGTTGTTTTATCAATTTAGTAATTTAGAAATAACTATTAATTACCAAACGATCGCTGAAACTATAAAAGAAAATATTTTGTTTCGTGCTAATAGTGCGGTAAAAATTTCACGCGGGCTTCAAAAATCACACCTAATGAAACATACATTCAAAATTATATTGATACGGCCTATTTTTTTTGTATGAGAACCTTTATAAAGAGCAGAACTTTCTAAAAGTTATTTGTTTCTTAGGTTTTCACGCACATCACTCATTAAATAAAACTAGTTTTAGCGGGTTAATGCACGAACTTTATTTATTTATTGACGTTTCGAGAAGATAGCTCGACAAAGTAAAATAAAATTATTATTCTGACGATCATCATCATCATCATCAGCCTGTTATGTCCCCACTGCTGGGGCACAGACCTTCCCTATTGATGGATTAAGGAGTCATGACCCACCACGTGGGCCCAGTGCGGGTTGGTGGATGCTAACGACTGCAGATGCAGCCGGGACCAACGGCTTAACGTGCCTTTCGAAGCACGGAGGAGCTCGAAATAGTAAATTTTTGGTCACCCATCCAATAACCGACACTGCAAAAGTTGCTCAACTTCAACGACCGCAGCCGAACGCGCTAACCACTGGCGCCATCGAGCTATTCTGACGATGCAGACCTGAAAAGGCTGCGAAACGTCAATAAATAAATAAAGTTCGTGCATTAATCCGTTAAAACTAGTTTAATTTCTAAAAGTTAATTAAAAGACAACTAGCAAACCAGTGAACCAACAAAAGTTCACCAAAACCTAAAAAAAAAATGTATTTAATTAATTGAGAACTTCGGAGATTTTGAGTGGTTTCGTTTAAAATTCGTGATTTCTCGAAAACCGGAAGTGCTACGTTACTCAAATCCGCTTTGTAGTCTTATCAGACTATTGTTAACTTATAACTTAAATATTCTCTTTATCTATCTCTTACGGTTTGGCCGCTGAAACAGCACCACAGACAGACAGACGGACGGACTTGTCTAATAGATAAGAGATGCCACATCAGATATTATGTACGTTAAACATAATGCGTACACGCATATAATCCAATTACATAACTTGTATAACTACAAACGGTAAAAATTCAAAATGGCGTTTGGAATATTTCTGCTCTCATAACTCCAATAGAGACACTGTGTTATATCTGGTTTATTATTATTATCGTTCATATGTCATTACGGTTCCCATCCTAAATAAAAACAATGCAATTTGAGTTTCGTTTCTCCGTTGAGATAGTACATTGTTTAGATAATTCAACAATGAGCCACTGATACCCTTATGATGGCAATGGCCAGAAATGTTAAGCAAAAAGCAATATTGCACAAAGAATAATAATCATCACCAGCCTATTAATGTCCCCACTGCTGGGGCACAGGCCTTCCTTAGGGATGGCACAGGGACATTGGGCCATGACCTAATACGCAGGCCCAGTGCGGATTGGTAGGTGGTAACGACTGCAGATGCAGCCGCGACCAACGGCTTAACGTGCCTTCCGAAGCACGGAGGAGCTCGAGATAGTAAATTTTTGGTCACCCATCCAATGACTGACCACTGCGAAAGTTGGTTTACTTCAACGATCGCAGCAGAGCGCGCTAACTACTTACGCCATCGAGCTTTCAGATTTTTTGAAATAGTAAAATAATTCTCACGCTGGACTGCTTTGTTGAATTGCTTAAAAACAGCGCAGTGCCATAAATGTTTGTGGAAGTTAAGAATTTTTGTAATGACTAGCCATCGAAAGGGTAACCGAAAATTAACTACCTCAAGTCAAAAGTCAAAAGTCAAAATATCTTTCTTCAAATTGGATGCAAAATGCAACTCTTTTGAATCGTCCATATTTTTTCCGAAGGAAGGGTAACCGAAAATTAACTACCTCGAGTCAAAAGTCAAAATATCTTTCTTCAAATTGGATGCAAAATACAACTCTTTTGCATCGTCCATATTTTTTCCTCTACCACCAGTTAAGGACATTTTTTAGCTGTGGAGAAACAATGGCGAAAAAACTTCACAGCGTTAATAATCATGTAACAATATTTACAAAATATTACATTGTTAGGGTGTCAATCTATATATATATAAAACTCAAAGGTGACTGACTGACTGACATAGTGATCTATCAACGCACAGCCCAAACCATTGGACGGATCGGGCTGAAATTTGGCATGCAGGTAGATGTTATGACGTTGGCATCCGCTAAGAAAGGATTTTGATCAATTCTACCCCCAAGGGGATAAAATAGGGAATGAAAGTTTGTATGAAACTTGGTCAATTTTAAACCGATCGGACTGAGACTTTGCATGCAGGTATAAGAAGAATAATAGATGAATGTCATTGTGTATAATACAAGCCTGAGAACAAAAACTGTAGTCTACACTTCAGCTCTACACCGAAGCGAAGCGAGGGCGGGCCGCTAGTACAAAATAAAGCTCCTTCATGCTGCATTTACAATTTATTAGCACCCACTGAGACGCTAAGGCAGAGCTTGCTTAATGGCTTTGGCTAAATGGCGACAGTTTTTGTAAGTAAATAAATATATTATCACTTTGAATCATAACCGGTGACTTTCATATTATGTGTATCTATGTGAAGAATAATCTACAATATGAGTAAATCTTACCAGAGTTTCCAGTCAAATTGGAGCGTCCATCTGGAGAAGAAACCCCGGCCTGTCAGAAGATCATGGTAAAATAACAGTACATTTTGGTAGTACAGAAGGGTGAGAACATGTTCATCACGTCGTAGTCGGATGGGAAGCCTCTTCAATTTATTCTTGTATTTGGCACATGATCAAACTTGCGCCTTACATAAATAAACCCAACGCAGAGGTTCTGAAGACGTTCCAGCTTCTTCAAAAGATCCTCATTAAGGTCGATACTGCAGATATCAGCGTAATCCAGAATAGGCAAAAAACGCGACTGCAAAAGTTGGATCTTGGTCCCCACAGGTAGCAAGTTCCTCCATCTACGCAGTTCTCCCCACGACAACGGCTAACTAGAGCCGAGGTTTGAGTCGTCCTCTAGTTGAGCCGACCCCCTCAGATTTGAGTGGTCTAGAGGCTCCACACGGAGAAGAAAATCCCCCCCGTGGGGAGATTACATCCACCTGGAATACCTCTAGAGGCACTTGCCAATTCTCGGCTTAAGGTCCCCTTAAAGGCAAGAGAATCCCTTAGAGAAAAATTTAAAGAAATTAATATTTTAACACTGGCGTCGCAATACATTTATGAAAATTTAATATACGTAAGAAAAAACTATGATGCATTTGCAAAAAAAAGTCAAACCCATAACTTTAACACAAGATTTAAGAACAAGCTTGCCGTTCCATGTTTCAGACTTCAAAAATCAAGACGTTCATTTCTGGGTTGTAGTATTGCATTGTTTAATAAAGTTCCCCTAAATCTGATTGAGCTTCCACTGACTAAATTTAAATCTCAGATCAAAAGTACTCTTATGAATAAGGGCTATTATAAAGTTGATGATTATCTGAATGATCGTAATGCATGGTCATAGTGTTTCTTATAATTTGTTATTTAATAGGTATTAGTCATTTTTCATAACAGTAGTATTGTACCTATCTAACGCCGCTTCCTATATACTAAATATATTGTTAACCATAAAATTTATTGTAACTATATATTTATATTCTAAATGATGTAATGGAAGGTGACTTCAGACGTATCTCTAAAGTCATTTTTCAACTTGACGACTCTGTATATAACAATACAGGGAGAAAAAAACAGCCCTTGCTCAGTTTCTTGCTGGTTCTTCTCAGTACAAGGTCTCCCGCCGTAGTTTTGCGAACCGATGGCGTAGCTTCTGGACCTTCACAAGTGCTTGTAACAGCCTAGACTGAATAAATGACTTTTCATTTCATTTCATTTCATTCCTTAGGATCTCGCCGTCCCCAAACCCGATGACGCTGTAAAGGTCATCTGCGACCAACAGCATAAATACTCAAAATATATATATATATATATATATGAAGTGAAAGTTCACGCAGTGAAAATGCAACGTTTTGCACAAAAATATATCTACTCTTTTGACGATGATAACCTCCGTGGCCGAGTGGTTTGCACGCCGGGTTTCATGGTGTAGCCGACTCAAGAGGTCCCGGGTACGAACCCTGGTGGGGGCAGATGTTTGTGTGATGAATACGAGCATTTGTACTCCAGTCATGGATGTTTAATATGTATTTCTAAATAAATATACTTATATATGTACTGTATATGTATTCTATCCGTTACACTACAGTGCTTACTTTGGGGCTAGGCTAATTGGTGTGAGTGTTAGAAATATTTTATTTATCTTCAAATTGAGTCCCTTCACGATTGAGTTGCTAGAATAACAAATGGTATTACTTTAATGATTAAATAGCCTAAACTTTCACCATTCGGTCATTACACGGCTTTACGAATTCTTAAGAATCGAAAATATATTTTATGATTGCAATTATAGGTAAACTCATGTTTTTTTCTGTACATAATTATTATCTTGTTAAACCATATCAACCATAGAGGAGCTCGATGGCGCAGGTGGCTAGCGCGTTCGGCTGCGACCGTTGAAGTTAAGCAACTTTCGCAGTGGTCGGTCATTGGATGGGTGACCAAAAATATACTATCTCGAGCTCCTCCGTGCTTCGGAAGGCACGTTAAGCCGTTGGTCCCGGCTGCATTTGCAGTCGTTAGCACCCACCAATCCGCACTGGGCCCGCGTGGTGGGTCATGACCCAATCTCCCTATTCCATCCATAGGGAAGGCCTGTGCCCCAGCAGTGGGGACATTAATAGGCTGATGATGAAACCATATCATCTTAATTTGTCGAATAGAAATGTAAAAAAAACTTCGCAAAATTGAATTTATAAGATGTTTTATTCCTAAAGCTAAACTTACATATCTCAAAAATAATTTACTAGAAAAATTTTATACGGTCCAAACATCCTGATGGTAATGATGAATTTAGTAGTTTAATGCTTATTATATATATACTAGCAAACCAGTGAACCAAATGTTCACCAAAACCTGATTTCTCGAAAACCGGAAGTGCTACGTTACTCAAATCCGGTTTGTAGTCTTATCAGACTATTCTTAACTTATAACTTAAATATTCTCTTTATCTATCTCTTACGGTTTGGCCGCTGAAATAGCACCACAGACAGACGGACGGACTTGTCTAATAGATAAGAGATGCAACACAGTTAAACTATATAATATTAATTAGTAACTCACCTTACAGTAAGGTAAAATAAATTAAAAGACTTACTGTGGCCACTATTCCTACACGAACAAAGAAATTTGGTGACTCATTTCTTTGTCGTACTATTTGCAAGTGGACTACTTTGCCCGTGCACGTGTTATAAGGAGGGATTCTTCCTACCATCTGGGGTCCTTTAAGAGAGGCGTGAAGAAGCATTTTTGCAGGCCGACAAGGTGAGGATGGTTGGTGTGTCAGTTTATAACTGCTGTACCAGCTATCTTCGCTCGCGTTTGGACCCTATCACCACTTAACATCAGGTGGGGTAGAGTCATTTGCCTACATAGCTATAAAAACCAATATCTCTTATCTAATAGACAAGTCCGTCCATCCGTCCGTGGTGCTGTTTCAGCGGCCAAACCGTAAGAGATAGGTATAGAGAATGTTTAAGTTATAAGTTAAGAATAGTCTGATAAGACTACAAACCGGATGTGAGTAACGTAGCACTTCCGGTTTTCGAGAAATCACGTGATTTCTATTTCAAACGAAACCACACAAAATCTCCGAAGTTCTCAATTAATTAAATACATTTCTTTTTTTTTAAATCAGGTTTTGGTGAACATTTGGTTCACTGGTTTGCTAGTTATTCTCTATTAAGAAAAGTAAAAGACTAAACTACCCATATTGTTAAATTAAGCTAAGTTTGTTTTTTCCATTTTCAGGAAAAACGGCTATTATTATTTTTTTTCCAACACACACCAATTAGCCTAGCCCCAAAGTAAGCACTGTAAGGCTAGTGTTTGCTAGGGTAACGGATACAATACATATACTGTACATATATAAGTATATTTATATAGAAATACATATTAAACATCCATGACTGGAGTACAAATGCTCGTATTCATCACACAAACATCTGCCCCCACCGGGATTCGAACCCGGGACCACTCGAGTCGGCGACATAATGAAACCCGGCGTATAAACCACTGGCCACGGAGGTCGTCAATTGTTTGTTATGCATCGCTGTTTTATCTTAATTTATATTTTTGAGTTCGATAAGGAAGACATATTGTAAAATTTGTTAATCTCAATTATCGCAAAAGCTGCCGCCCATTCTAACTGGTAACAGTTACGCACAATAATTAGCAATCAGTTTGTCGGTTCTTATGTGCTGCAGTTTTGTATAAACATATAATAATATTGAAAGTGTGGAGTATGAAAGTCTGCATAGAGTTAGCAAGTGTTAGATATAAATAATATCGCATTGTATAAAAAAACCGGCGTAAAGTCACTGGAAGAAAATGGAGGTAGTGAATGACTCCTTAACACGCTGTAAAAATTATATTTACTAATTGAGATTATTTCTAAAAACTTTTGTATAATATAAACTAAACATGGATGGTTAATATATCTATACTCTGGGAAGGTCCCACAGAAAATTATTAATTAGTTAGTGGATTTAGTTCTAAAATCAATAAAAATTCTTTATCTATACGAGATACAGACCTGATTTTTTGTTTCACTAAGATTTTTAGTATTCTTTATAGTAAAGAAAAATAACGCCCTGTAGCGGGCGGGATCATATTCTGACCACCTTACACTATTAATTATACATCTATAGTAACTGATACTATCTGTATATTAAGCACTACACTACACACTAATGTGGAAAAAAATAACAAGTCAAATCAAATTCTATTATTTTTTGGAAAATTAAAAGGATTAGGAAATGTACCTTCTATACTTTGATAAGTCTACAATCATGGAGCAACCCAGTTGTGCGCTCTAGAGACGCATCTCGTTACTTCACACTACATAATAATGCTCTCGCACTCGGCTTGCGATCAGCTGTTGCCGACTACTTAAGCTACGAACTTGGTGAGAATGTATGAGATGAGTTTATATTATTTTATTTATTTATTTACTCTTAATTGTCATTTTACAACAAATGGCGGACTTAATGCCAGAAAAAAAAAGAAAAATATTGAATAATTAGTGGATTTAGTTTAAAAATCAATAGAAATTATTTATCTATACGTGATACAGACCTGTTTTTTTTCACTAAAATTTTTAGTATTCTTTTTAATAAAGATAAATAACGCACTGTAGCTGGCGGAAGTCATATTCTGACCTATTGATATATAATATAATATTGATTATACATCTATAGTAACTGATACTATCTGTATATTAAGCACTACACTGGACACTAATGTGGAAAAAAATAACAAGTCGAATCAAATTCTGTTATATTTTGGAAAATTAAAAGGATTAAGAAATGTACCTTCTATACTTTGATAAGTCTACAATCATGAAGCAACCCAGTTGTGCGCTCTAGAGACGCATCTCGTTACTTCACACTACATAATAATGCTCTCGCACTCGGCTTGCGATCAGCTGTTGCCGACTACTTAAGCTACGAACTTGGTGAGAATGTATGAGATGAGTTTATAATTATTTTATTTATTTATTTATTTACTCTTTATTGTCATTTTACAACAAATGGCGGACTTAATGGCACATGGCATTCTCTACCAGTCAACCATCGGGCTAAGCAGAGACCATATGCGGTAAAGTAAATAAAAGCAAAAGGAGAAAAAAAAAAAAAATTGATAAAACTACATGATACTTGATGCGGCATAAAATGAAAAACTCACTTTTGGTGTAGTATTCAGCAATAGATGAATCAATTTTTAATCGAAGATATTATATTATGTATAACAAAATTCCTAAAACAAAAACTAAAGCTTGCTCCGATAGGTCAGTAGTTATTCATAAACAAATATTAATGTCAGACACAGACTACGAGTACATGCCTTATGTTTCAATTAGAAATCAACATGACCTCCACATCTAGTAATGTATGTCATTAAAATGTGTTGTTATTTGTTATGAAGCAGATTTCTTTTTTTAAATATACATTTCGACCCCCGTGACCGAGTGCTATATACGCCGGGATTCATGGTGTCGCCTACTCGAGAGGTCCCGGGTCCGAATCAGGTTGGAGCAAACGTTGGTGTTTATCTATATTTCTATTTTTCAATATACTTATATATGTATCAAATATATGTATTCTATACACAAACCTAGCATCCCATAACGCAAGCCTTACAGTGCTTACTTTGGGGCTAGGCTAATTGGTGTGAGTGTTAGGAACATTTAATCTAATATATAAAATTCTCGTGTCGCGGTGTTTGTGGTTAAACTCCTCCGAAACGGCTTTCCCGATTCTCATGAAATTTTGTGTGCATATTGGGTAGGTCTGAGAATCGGACAACATCTATTTTGCATCCCCCTAAATGTTAAGGGTAATCCAACCCTATTTTTTTTTCAATTATAGATAAAAAAAAAATATGATACAGCATTAATAAATAAATACAAACCTAAATTTTCACCCTTCTACCACCAACCCCTATTTTTTTATGGCGGTACGAAGTTCGCTGGGTCAGCTAGTATATTTATATTTTTAATAATGCTCAAGTCCGCAATCACAGTGGTCGAACTCCACGGTAGTGTGACTTCGTACGGCAGTGCGTATACGGCCAAAGTTTTGGTATAAAAACATCACAGTGAAATTTTTTTATTACATTAGTAATCCAATTGTCTCGAGTCGCGGTGATATACCCGAAAAAAACAAAATGAAATTGGTACGTACAGAAAAGAGTGTGTGGTTTAATAATGCGCTGCAAAAGTACCAAGTGACATTTTTTGAAGTGTGGTTTATTTTAAAAGCTCTTGCTTTGATTGTTCCATCATCATCAGCCTATTAATGTCCCCACTGCTGGGGCACAGGTCTTCCCTATGACGGAATTGGGAGATTGGGCCTTACCCACCACGCGGGCCCATAGCGGATTGTCAGGTGCTAAAAACTGCAGATGCAGCCGGGACCAACGGCTTAACGTGCCTTCCGAAGCACGCAGGAAGTCGAGATAGAAGATTTTTGGTCACCCATCCAATGACCGACCACTGCGAAAGTTGCTTAACTTCAACGATTGCAGCGGAACGCGCTAACCATTCGTGCCATCGAGCTCCTATGATTGTTTGTACAAGTGATAAAAACTCAAAGGCATAGTTAAAACTTCATAAAACTATCAATATTCGAAAACGCAGCAAATTTTGATTTCACCAAATTTGATGTGTAATTCAGAAATAGTGTGGTTTGCTACCGTGAAATTGTGTTATGCTTAAGTTATCTAGTAGTAACTTGAGCATGGAGGACGGCAAGATCAAAGTAAACGAATGAGTTGTGAAATAACGCTCAGCAGTAATTGTCATTGCACGACATCATGGTAACCCATGTGTCGATGTATGATGTACATGATTTTAGTTAGCGTATTTCTTAAAATTTATATGACACTTTATTATCTGTTGTAGTTTTATTGTAGTATTGGTGTAGTTGTTAATGAAGAACGATTGATTTTTCATTTAATATGAAGAAATTTTATTTTTGATATGTCAATTGTCAATATACCTTAAAACATGGTATTTGCGTATCATCACACTAATATTATAAAGGCGAGTCTGTGAGTGTGTATGTTTGTTACTTCTTCACGTCTAAACGGCTGGAGCGATTTTGATAAAATTTGGTATGTAGTTAGATGACACCCTGGATTAACACATAGGCTACGTTTTACTAAGGAAAATATCCCTTATAAACCGCGGGTAGCACCGCGGGGCACAGTCAGTTGTTAATAAAGACTTTTACCTGTTTATAATAATTCATAATATTTTTCTCTTTTCAGTTGACCCCTTTTGCTGCAATCATAGCCGCGGCCACCGCTGGTCTAATAACCAGCAATCCAATAGAAAGTTATGCTCATTCATCAGAAATCTACCAATCAGGGCTCGAGCACCAACAACGAGGACTCTACAACACCCAACCGCAAACATTCTCACCGCACACTACGTTCAATAGTCAAATGCCGCCATTTTCAAGCCATGTGCAAGCTTTAGAAAACCAGCCACAGCCGTTTACAAGCCATGCGCATATGAGTCAACCACAACATTTCTCGAGTCATGCGCAAGGTTTCAATAGTCAGTTTTCGAGCCATGCGCAAAATTTCAACAGTCAGCCGCAACAGTTTTCAAGCCATGCTTTACCATACTCTGGGCAACAAGCAGCATATGCTGGACAGGCGCAAATCGGGCATGATGTGAGCAATCAGAGACCATCGGCTGAGAAATCGGCACGGATCTTGCATTACACCATGGACAATGACGGCCACAACTATCAGTATGCTTATGAGACTGAAAATGGTGATTTTACTATCAAAACTTATACATTTACGTATTTTTAAAGAAGGCACTTAACAATCGCTTAACATACTAAATTCAACACTTAAGGGTGATTAAAATATTAAACTGTCACAATCAAAACTTCCATTCTTGATATTGTCGATAGCGGGAAGCTTATTGCAACTATAACCATGTTGTATGCTTTATTATATAATATATTGTTGCCGGCAGGGCTTGAAACCGGTTTCGAAAATACTGGTAAATAAAGGTTATTACCGGTGTTTAGTAAAGATTTCGTTCGGAGCGCGAAAGCGGAACCTAAAACCTTAATAAACCGGTTTAATCCAGAGCGGCGCGTGCACGCGTCGGCATCGCTTGAAGTTTGTTTTGTTTGAACTAATCAAGTCACAACTTGTTGATGCAGTGAGATTGATTGGAGTCAAGTTATTCATTTATTATCGATGCCGTCAGAAAGAGCAAAATGAAAACCTTTAAAAACCACTAAATTGATTCAAAAGTTCAGTTTTTTAAGGTTAAGGTAGAGCCAAACCTAAATGAAACGCTCCTAATGTACTTGAAACTGATTTAGGTTTGAAAATTAACCGGTAAACAAGCCCTGGTTGAAGACACGCCAATGTATGAAATAAATAGTCGCGGAAAAATTTTTGGGCGAAATTTTGTTCAAAAGAATAGAAAGCTAGAGATATGGATATAACAACAAACATTCGTAAATTTATTATTATACTAGCGGCCCGCCCTCGCTTCGCTTCGGTGTAGAGCTGAAGTGTAGACTACAGTTTTGTTTTCAAGCTTGATGACATTCATCGATGATTCTTCTTATACCTGCATGCAGTCTCAGCCCGATCGGTTTAAAATTGACAAAGCTTCATACAAACTTTCATTCCCTATTTTATCCCCTTGGGGGTAGAATTGATCAAAATCCTTTCTTAGCGGATGCCTACGTCATAACATCTACCTGCATGCCAAATTTCAGCCTGATCCGTCTAGTGGTTTGGGCTGTGCGTTGATAGATCACTATGTTAGTCAGTTACCTTTGAGTTTTATATATATAGATTTAAGCTTAACAGTCATTTGTCTGAAATTGTACAATAATAAACTTTATCCCCCAGGTATCAAAGCCGAAGAGCAAGGGCAGACCATCCACGGGAGCCAAGTATCAGGTGCATATTCTTACACCGGTGATGATGGTCAAATCTATACTGTGACGTATACAGCTGATGAGAACGGCTTCCAAGCACAGGGTGCTCACCTGCCCACTCCACCGCCAATCCCTGAAGCCATCGCTAAATCCATAGAGCAGAACGCTAAGGACGCAGCCAATGGTGTCTTCGATGATGGTAAGGAGGTTTTTTAAGTTAATCTGTATCAATAGGTTTTCGGCTGCGGTCGTTGAAGTTGAGCAACTTTCGCAGTGGTCGGTCATTGGATGGGTGACTAAAAATTTACTATCTCGAGCTCCTCCGTGCTTCGGAAGGCACGTTAAGATGTTGGTCCCGGCTGCATCTGCAGTCGTTAGCACCTACCAACATGCACTGGGCCCGCGTGGTGGGTCATGGCCCAATCTCCCTAATTCATCCATAGGGAAGGCCTGTGCCCCAGCAGTGGGGTCATTAATAGGCTGATGATGATAATGATGATGATGATTAAGAAAATGCAAGCTCAATAAAAGAAGACAAACCATCCTTTTCGTCGTTTAAGAGAGATAGATTATATTCAGAATATCAAATATTATAATGTTGACTTGATAGTGTATGAAATATTTATGACCACATTTAACCTAAGTCTCGTATAAAAACTTTCAGGGCAGTACAAACCCCAGCTGACCACTTCAGACAACGAACTCCACCAAGGCGGTGGATTTCAACAAAACTCTGGATATCACAGCACACATCAGAAACAACCAATAGCTTCAGGCTATCACCACTAAAATATATAAGTTAAGCCAAAAAATAGAGATAGTAAGAAAAAAAAGCTTTGCTTGAATAATTGTCGCCGCACACGGGCCACCGACTACAACCACAAAACGCCGCCACCGACATATTTCTTATAGTTTTTATACATTTTATATAGACTCGCCACACACGGGCCGGTGGCCGCCACACGCTACAAATCGTCGTTGCTCGCTTCTTGTGGCCCGCACCGGCCACTTAATGCGTCGATACAAAACGCCGCCACACGTCACTCGCGCGATTTTCCCCACCCCTCTCTCCCTTACCTTAGTCGGCCGCTGTCGCGCGCTTCAGCCGCTTTAGTAGCCGCTTCTAGCTTCTCGTGGCGGCGTTTGTGGCTGTGGCGTGTGGCTCTTGACACTAAAATGCGCATTTAATGCTGAAATAATGTTTGCACAAAAGTTTTTATTTTTAAATTTAAGAGTTGATCCTGTTTAGTCGTCATTCTACTATATAAATTATATATCTGTATGTGACTTTAAACAATTTGATAAAGATGGAATGATGTTATATATTTTTAATTTTTTAAGCATGTAACTGCTATATGTTTAAATTTAAAGACAATTTTACTAGAAAGAATCCCGAGCGTGGATTTTATGATTTATCGTATACAGTGTATATGAAAGTTTAATTTGGGTAAATATCATTAAAAAAGAACAGATGGGTGTAAATTATCAACAAAAATACACCTGTTTACAAGTGGCAAACCTAAGGTCTTTAAATCCATGTTTTTTGAATTCTTCACATCATTTCCTTTCAGATGACATAAATTTTACCAAAAAAGCATATGGATGCAATTTTCATAAGAAAATGGATGTCACTAAATTAAATTAAAGGTATTTGCGGCTACTTTATTTTAGGCAATCCATGATTAATGCAATGTATACTCACTAACCATTCCTTTAAATAAAGTTTGATCAAAAAAAAAAACAGATGAGTGCAGAATTTTGCGGTCGGATCTCGGGCTAAAAGTAACAAAAAACTATTTTGCAAAACTTTTCTGACATACTGAAAACAAAAAACGATCGGCAGAATTTTTTATGGAAAGCGGGAGGAAATTAATGCGTGTGCCTCTTTTTTACATTCAGCTTAATATCATAGCCTAATTTAATAAATTAAACCATTTCAGCTTACAACTATTTTTCCTTTGTTCCATAAGTGCCCCCTGATTCGAAAACGAAACAAAAAAGGCGCTTTTGTTGATGGTCATTAACTTCTACACTTCGATCGGACAGTGCATCCTGTCTTCATATAAATTAAGAAAAAGGTACTTTTTGTAAATTGTGATTGATTGCTTTGTTGATTACGTTGCACTATTTGATTCATTATGAGTCAGTGCAAGGTGTGACTTCATTTCAGTGTGCAAAAATCAACAAGTCTCCTCCAAATAGTAAGAAATTATCCAAATCAGATGAAATTTACGAGTTTTAATTGTAGATAAAATATTATAGTAAGTAATTGGTAATAAATTCGTTCTAACATGTTTATTGACTACAGTTTATTTGTTACAGTTTATGAATTTACATTTAACTTTGTTATTTTAACGAGCAAATTACAGCTTGTAACTTTAGATCAGTAATATTAATGAAGTCATTTCTCAACAAGCTAAAAACCTTGTACCTGATAAGTTTTATTGTTCTTGAACGAACTTACGGTTTAAAATAATGCGTATCAGTGTTTCATGTACCGTTTCTAATGAATGAACCATGAACAAAAATCTGGTAGTCTGCAATCAGTATGAGATTATGAATTTAAAAAAAAAGAGGTTTTCTATAAACTAAGCTGGGAAAATAATGTTTGTTTGGCTATATGTTTTTATTTTTGTTATTTTGTTTTTAAGAATTACAAAAATATATTATTAATAAGTTACATTGTCTTTATTTTTATTTGTCATAAACCATTTGAATTTGACTTGATTGATTTGAATTCCGGCCCGCGACCACCAAACAAAATTCAAAGGTACCCACCAAAAAGTACCATTTTATCCCATCTTCCGATAAGGTCCACCCCGTTGCTGAAACTGTTATCTCTCTATTTACTTTGTAGCGAATACATGGACGTATTTAGCTTGATCCAGCGCTGCAGGCTGCACGGTGCCTCCGATTCCTCCCGCCTCAGACTCCTCCCACACAGGCCACAAACACCAACACTACACAGCTAGCAAACTTGCACACTAGCTTAGCATCAGGCAGACACCGCACCTGTAAGACAAGAGTGCGAAGACGCGGTCCACACGACACGCTATACCAGGTACAGGTACGTACCTGGGCGTTTTTCCCCGCCCCCCACGACAACGGCTAACTAGAACCGTGGTCCGAGTCTCAGAGATGCCCTCTGGTTTAGCCGACCCCCTCAGGTTCAAATGGTCTAGATGATATTCCTCAAGTGGGGAGATACCATCCGCCTGGAATACCTCTAGAGGCACTTGCCAATTCTCGTCTGGAGGTCCTCTTAGGATCTCGCCGTCCCCAAACCCGGTGACGCTGTAAAGGTCATCTGTGACCAACAGCATACACACTCAAACAGGCTGCACGAGAGGCATAAGTGACTGAGTTATAATTTAATTTAATTACTTATTCTAGGGGTAGTGTAAATCATGGCTTACCATCAATGACATATAATATATAAACAAGTTAGACGCCAACGCCGACGCCAATAGTTAGACCCCGCCCCAACTTCCCTTGGCAACAACCGCCAATAGAGTGCATTAAAGTAGTCTTTAACTCTCATACATAAAACAGATTACATTTCGCTCTTTAACCTCCACGTGGTCAGCTAGTGTCAAAATAAGTATACTAAATATTTTTAAATTATTTTCTTTAAAACAGTACTTACAAATGAAATGACACGCTTTTATTTCTCTTTATAATAATAATAATAATATTAACACGTAGCGAGGTGTAGCCGCGGCGAGTGAGCGTGTCCGACTGAATGCAAGTCGGGCAATTACCTGATTTTCGTATCGCCAAATTAGAAGCATGTATGACGTATCACTATATAGTATAAAGCAAAGCGGAAAATCCGTTGCGTAGTTATGTGGTTTTTTTAATAGATAGAGTGATTCAAGAGGAAGGTTTATATGTATAATACATGCACAATATAGAAGAGAAACACTGCTAATTTTAGAGGTTTGTAATGTAAGGTTGTTAATAAACACATTTTTTGCGCTTACATTGCGCTTGCAAATAATCTACTACACAATAACCACTTTTTATACTATATTTTTTACGAGAAATGATAGATATTTACGAAGCGATTTTCAGCAATATAACATTGTGAATTTAATAAAGACCAATTTGGCCCTTTAACGCATGTAATTTAAATGAATATTTTCGAAGATATTACAGATTTAAATAAAATACAGGGACATAGTTACGGTTCTGACGCTTACGGGCGGGGGGCTTGGCGGCGCGTGCCTATTGTAATTAGGTATTAGAAGAATGCCATCCTATATAATACGAGCCTGAGAACAAAAACTATAGTCTACACTACTGCTCTACACCGAAGCGAAGCGAGGGCGGGCCACTAGTCTAACTATTAAACATCATAGCCTGCCATAGATTCTGATAGTAAATATTGGCAGGATAAGAAAACAGTTTGCCAATCCCTGTTCTAGTTAGTTCCCATATGACGGGTAACACACAGCCGAAGCTGTTATTATAGAAAACTACTAAGTAATGTGATAAATAATATGTCACAATAGTTACAATAAATATATCGAGTATGTATGTAAATAAGGCCCACATACAAGTGAAATAAGTAATAGAATAGCCCTTTAATGGACACGCACTCCAATGTCACCGATTGTGATGTAAGGTAATACCTAATTTAGAAAGTTTCAATTAATTACGTTTTGTAACTAAAAAAGGTGAACCGTTTCGGTATGCATAGCAAATGCGAAATATCCATAGGACCGTACTTGTAAGAATAATTATACTCAAATGTGATTTAAATCTATATGTCGCAGGCAATTTCTACAATTCCGCGATGTCGGCCGTTTAAATCGCTCGCAGTTTTAAAATATGGCGAAAGCAAAATGTAAACTGTCTGCTTACTTTAGAATAAGCCACAACATTTGATAGACAATTCAATTGCCATTAACAAAAGGCAAGTACATCCATGGGTGGCAGTGACCACTTACCATCAGGTGAACTGCCTGCGCATTTGCATGCATAAACATAAAAAAAATATTTATATATATATATATATATATATTTTTATTATTTTAAAGCATGCAACTGCTTGATGTTTAAATCTAAAGAAAATATAACTAGAAAAAAGTGAGTGCCGCGGTAGCATAATTGGTCAGTGCATTCGCCCGGATTGCGAAGGGTGCGGGTTCGAGTCCCGTCTGCTGCCTGGTCCGCGTGGATTTTTTTCTAGTTATATTTTCTTTAGATAAAAAAATATATTAAGAAAAAGTAGCAAAACTTCATTATTAGCATCATCTCAGCCTAAGTCTGTTATTGTCTCCACTGACATTCTTATGGATGTTATAGCAAAATTAGGTCATGAACCGTCACGCGATTTCATTGTGGATTGGTGGGTTCTAACGATTGGGGATGCAGCCGGGACCAACGGCTTAACGTGCCATCGGAAGCACGGATGAGCTCGAAATAATATTTCTTCTTTCGCTATCTAGCCGCAAATGATAAATAATTTCATTAAATTTTGAGCCTAACATCCTTCTCTGTGTTCCTACTCCTCGATTGTAAAATTGTCTCGTAAATATTGCCGATCGTACAATGTCTTTCTCGGCCCGGTTTATAATGCACAGTGTAATTTAATGATGCTGTGCTACGTTATTAAATGGTCCGATGACGTGGTTTTTATTACGAGTCATCTTGTTTTATTTATTTATTCCATAGACAAAATTTCTTAGGTTATGGTTTTGTCTTTTTTTGTATATCCAAATTTTCGTAGGCAAAGAGCCGAGCCCACACAGCCTCTTGCGTTATTTTTTTGTTTTGTGCTGGACTGCTATGGGCGAGGGATGCGAGGTCCAGATTGTTTTTTGTTTTTGTTTTGTGTATTAAGTGACTGTCTTGTAATTCCGTGCGTTGATGTCCAAATTAAGTCCCTCCAGAATATCAGCGTTGCAGCGGCAATCCATTTTTGCCGTTGCAACCTTATGCTGAGGTGGGGCCTAGTTGACGATGTACCTTTTGTTTTATGTTTGTTGTGTATTTATTGTAATTGTTAATGTATGTAGTCAATAAATGTTTTTCTTTCTTTCTCCTACCTCTTCCTTCAAAATCGAACACAAAAATCGATCATGAAAATTAATTTATGTTTGTGTAAGACACAAGCATTGAGTTTGTACAACAATTACATTGCCTACACGCCGGCATTGTAATAGACCTGCGTGCGCGCATACCGCCGAGTCGGTACAGCTGTTTTGTTGCACTTTGACCCAGTGACATTCAGACCACTTTCATGTGCCTCTTGCCTCTGGCTAAAATAGTTTGGCAAGTGGTCTAGTTGAACTGCTGGTTACAATGTGGGTGTAACGATTAATGAGTTAATGAGGATTTGTGTGTTGGGAAAGATGTAAATTTTACAAGGGGAATTTTAACTTCTCCCAGGTACCAGCCAGCAAGAAGTTTTCTTTAAAAAAATACTTTAGAAGTTTTAAAGTTAAATGTAACAAAATAATTGATTGCTATATTCCTATATTCATTATTTTTAAATAAGTTCAACCGATACTTTATTAGTCGTTAGCAGCTGCGATGGGAATTATTTCCAGATATATAAGTGGCAGGTTTTCGAAACTAGTTTCTCTTTTTTTTAGGGGAAAACCGGGAGACTTGCCCATGTGAGAGAGTTGAACCATCTATCAAAATTGTTTTTGAATTCAGCTAAAACAAAACGTCAAATCATAAATTGGTCATATGTGAGACTGTTTTCTAATGATTGGCGTATCACATGTAATTATATAATAATAATGATATATTTATTTGGAAAAAAATTGAACATGGTAATAATCTTATAAATATGTTAAAATTAAGCCCATTATTTCACGCAAAGTACCTACATATAGACATCCTCAGCCAAACTAGGAAGTTCATCCTGTGTTTTGGCTTCAGCGCTCTTCCCGAATTTTATTTGTAATGTAGCCATACAAATAACATGAGTACCATATTTTCTTACGTTAATCAATATTACAGTACATTAATATAATAAGTGTGTGTGTGTGTACGTGTGTGTTTATGTGTGTAGTGCTTATGTGTATATATAATCATAAGCATTTATATTTATAGGGCAGTGTCAATTAAAAAAATGACGTTTTGTTTAAATACTAAATTTAAATACAATTTAGATGGTTCAATTCCCCCACCTGGGCAAGTCTCCCCGTTTTCCTCTACATTATTATAACACGATCGACCAAGATTGTAATTCATGTGTTCTATCATTCTATTGCACTCCACAGATTATCATGAAAAAGCTAGTGGACTCATAAAAAATATGTTATAAAATATTATTAAAATTGGACCGCTCATAAGATCCAAAACATACGGATTTTTATAAATCAGTTTATTTCTTACGCATATCAAAATTGTTTTATTTATACTTAAAGCCATGTCACAATAATTATGGCCAATAGCGTCAAGTAAAATGATTAAAAGCTGATATTTTGGATTTTACCAGGTTTAAAAAAATATATTACACAGATATTACGATTAAGTAAAACGAAATACTTAGAGATTTATTTGACATTGAAGTTTAATTCCAACTATAAAAAAAGGCAAATAAATTTTACTAACGGGAGACAAATCAAAAAGCTCACATTGGAAAATACCTACA